TATAAAAATGATTAGGGATATTTGGCAAAGAACCTGGGAGACCTCTCATGACTGAGGGCAGCTGGAAGACAGGCGAGAAGAAATCACTGTCTGATCTGGGTGTCTGCATCCCGTTCAGCATCTCCTCAAGGCTATTAATAATAATAAAAACACTTACATAACATTTAAAATAGTGACATATAGGCTCACAAATAGTAAATACATTTTGTTTAATTCTCACAAGTCATCTGTATTAAAAGTGACTGCCCGCTTCTTCCTCTAGTTTGTGAGCACCTTAGGGACAGAAACTGTGGCTTTTTCTTTGCTGCCTTGGAGACTTGCATACCATCTGAACATAGAAGGTGTAGTGGGTTGAAGAGTCTCCCCAAAATTCATGTCCAGTGAGAACCTCAGAATGTGCCTTCATTTGGACTTGGCCAAGTTGGACCTCAGTTAAGATGAGGTCATGATGGATTAGGGTGGGCCTTAAATGCGTGACTGGTGTCCTTATAGGAAAAGGAGAGGACATGGGGAAGCCGGCCATGTGAAGACAGAGGCAGAGACAGGAGTGATGCAGCTACAAGCCAAGGAATGCCAAGGATTGCTGGGAGTCACCAAAAACTAGAAAGAGGCATGGGAGTGTCCTCCCCTAGAGCCTTCAGAGGGCACAGGGCCCTGCCAACACCTTGGTTTCAGACTTCTAGCCTCCAGAACTGTGAGAGAATAAATGTCTATTGTTTTAAGCCACGAAGTTTGGTGCTTTGTTTGTAGCCCTAGGACACTAACAAAAAGGATGTTCATTACAGGTTTGTAAATACAGGTTTGTAAAATAAATTATACATATAATTTATTTGTTTTCCCCTTACTTAGCATGTGACAACACCTGCAAAATTGGACAGGACCCCTTGACCTTGATAAAAAATGGGGTTGTTGGAAATGGTAGCGTCGTCTCTGCTTCCACTTTCCTTCAGACATTACGCCTGTCCGTGAGGAAGTCCTGCCGACTGTAGTCACTTCTTAATTTACTTGTTCTTCCTGCTTCCACTTTTACCCCCCCACCTCCCCACCTGTTCATCACACAGCAACCAGAATTACATTTTTAAAAACTTAAAACAGGTTATGTTCTTCCTTTGTCTAACGCCCACCCCCTCCACACACACACACACAAAACTTACTATGGCATTGAGGATGAAATTTAAACACTGCCGCGCACACAGGCCCCTGCCCTGCTCTCTGGCCTGCTCCCCTCAGGCCTGTCTCACTGCCTTCCAGCCACGGGAACTGTTTTCTCTTTCTTAACCCTGTCGAGCTGTTTCTCACCTTAGGTGCGTGTACCGGCTGTTCCCTCTGTGGAGAATACTCTTCCTTCAGAAGCATGGCTGTTTCCTTTTTATCATTCATGACTCAAACTCCATCTCCCGGACACTCTGTAGGACATCACTATTTTCCTCTTGGTACTTATCACCGAGGCCGTGGTGGTTCAGTGGTAGGACTCTTGCCTTCCATGCGGGAAACCTGGGTTTGAGTCCTGGCCAACGCACCTCACGCGCAGCCACCACCCGTCTGTCAGTGGAGGGTTTTCTGTTGCTCTGATGCTGAACAGGTTTCAGCGGAGCTTCCGGACTAAAACATACTAGAAAGAAAGGCTGCCATCTACTTCCAAAAATCATCCAATGAAAACCCTATGGATCACAATGGTTCAGAGGCGGAGGTGGGGGAGGGGAGACAAAGAGGGTCCTTACTCCCAGGTGCAAGTTCAAGGGGTTGCCAGCTGTGTCACTAGGGGGGTGACACCACATGGTCTAGAGATGACCAAACTCTACAGCACTCGAGCTGCTCCAGAAAGCCCTGTGCCCGCTTCAGCCATGTTTCCATGCTACTGTCTGCTGTCTACCGGGATGATTCACCAACCTGAGGTGCCACTCGCACCGCTGCCGCCTCTACGGCCCAGCCCAGGCGCCTAGACCAGCCCGCCCAGCCGCCACCCAAAAGGCGGGCAGCAGGGCAGGAAATTGTGTGTGTGGGGGTCAAGCTGGGCTCCTTTTCATCACAGCTATCAACGTCTATTCATCTTGAAATTTTGGGGGGACGGGGCGCAACTTAGAGATTGTCCCTAGGCCTTCAAACTAGGGAGGGTGGGATGCAATTTAGAAATCGCCCCTGGGATGCTACATCCCTGCAATGGTTCAATCAACAGTTCAATCTGCAACTGATCATGGGGTTGGCACAGGACCGGGCAGTGTTTTCTTCCATGGTTCATGGGGCTGTCATGAGTCAGGGGCCAGCTTGACAGCAGCTAACAACAACAGCAACAGCTTATCACCACCTTAACTTACCAGGTTATTTCCTTGTCTATTCTTTATCTTCCTCTGCAAAGAGTAAGGACCTGGAGAGCAGGGATTCTCTGTCAGGTTCAACACTAGCTCCAGAAGCCTAGAACAGGGCCTAACTCACAAGCTAAGCACTCAGTTAACACTGCTTGGAAGAGCAAAGGAAGTCACCTAGAAGTCCGCGATGCTTGGTATGTGAGAACGATGCAAGAATGGAAGAGATTAATTGTGCCTTAAAAAAAAAAGCTTTGATTCTCATGGAGCCATGGACGCTGGATGAACCCCTGAAACTATTGCCCTGAGATCATCTTTAAACCTTAAACCAAAAATAGCTAACTAGTAAAAAAGGTCTGCCTTGAGCATTATGCTCTTTTAAGATCTATTTATATGGGATGAAATTGACCACAGCAACTCAAAAGATTAGATAGGAGACTTAGGGGGCAGTGAGTTCATGCTAATTGGAGAGGAACGACTCAGAAAAGGAGAGTGACAATGGTCGCACAACTCGAAGAATGTAATCAATGTCACTACATTGTACATGTAGAAACTGCTGAATTGGTGTAAGTTTTGCTGTGTATATTCTCAATGACGTAATAAAATAAATTATTAAAAAAAGCTCTGGGAAGGAGTCAACAATAAACTGCTGTTATATTATGCAACCTTAACAGGAATACGCCATCTAAGAGCAGAGAAGTAATCCGTCCGCTCTTCGTTGCTTTGGTGGGGCCTTCAGCGATGGTGTAACTTTGGCTTTGACATTTTTAAAGAGATATGTCAGAACTGGAATGATGTCAGAAAAGAGGAATCTAAATGAATACAGAGTAGGAAGAATCGAATCTGGGAGGAAAAGGGAAAGGATTTGAGATCGCAGGCTAGAAGGCAGAAGGCCAGCAGGTGGCTTCCTAACTGGTTAGAAGTGAGCTGTTAGCGCCAAGCTGCCAGGTGTTGAGGCGGTCAGTTAGGACAAGGAGCCAAACTGAAAGTAACAATCAAGTCTTTATTCACTTACTGCAACAGTGCAAAAAGAGGCACCAGCTCCCCATGAACGGCGCTGGGCGAGGGTCAGATGACATGCAGCACTGCCAGGGAGCCCTGACAAAAGCTCCTGCCTCTTCAGGGACCCCTGGGCCAGGAGGAAGGTTGGGGGCAGGGCTGGAAACAGGAAAGTACTGAGTCAAAGTGGAGAGAAGTGTGGCAGCCAAGGCCCCGGTAAGGAGGACTTGCACTGGGCTAGGAGTGCAGATGTGCATATGAGCATGGTTGGGGGAGCACTGAGTTCCTGACTGCAACTCCGCACTGAAAGCTGCAACATACTGCCTGGGCACCAAGGCTGGGGTGGGGAGGCACCTTCCCGCCCTAGGGCCTGCCAGGCAAAGCGCTATAATTGCCTGTGGTCAGGCCTGAAAGGTCACACATAGGATTATGGCCTGGAGCCAGACTCCTCGTGTTGATGCCCCAGTCCTTCCGGGTTTATAGGTAAACAGTTCCCTTCCCACCGCGCTCCCACGATCTGGCTCAAGCTGCACCGCCTCTCACCTGGACCAGTGGCAGTCTCTGCCTCCAGGGCTCACATCTCTGACCCCCTCCACTATCTGAGTTACCACCTTTCTAGAACTCCAAGAATGACCTGTCCCTGCACTAAGCTCCGTGGGCTACAGGCTCTTCCCCCTCGTCAGACTGCCTGCCCCCCTTGCTGCCCCCTCTGTGCTCCTTCACCCCCAGGTGCCTCTGCTCCCTTGGCCTGGGCCATCCTTTCCACCCATTGTTCTCTGTCTACCTGTCCTCACAGCTGTAGTTCAAAGGGCACCTCTTCCACGAGGCTCCCCAGGCTTGATGGGGACACAGCACCTTGCAATGCCTTTACCACGGCCCTTAATCACACTCCACTGTCATCGACTGTGAGTTGTGATGGGCAGAGATGCCACCTCAGCAACCTCTTCCCACAGGAGGCCTTTGCTGAAGAGATGGTGTGAACAAATGAATGAAAAAGATGAATGAATGACTTTTCCAAATTCTGGCTTCTTCTGTTGCCCTGATGTGTCCCTGGCCTGCCACCCCTTTCTCAGACACCACCCCCACCCCCACAATCTGACAGTAAAATTATCAAGGCAACAGAATGTCCTGGGCAATACCCCAGGATCTGTCGTTCTCAAGCTTCACTCTCACTAGGGGGTCAAGGAGGAGTCCCCATTCCTGGAAAGCCCCTCCTGCTGAACTCTGGACGAGGAGGACCCCTGCTGGTCACCCAGCGCCGCAGCAACTGTCCGCAAAAAACGGTTCAAATCTGAGTTGACCGGTTTCACCCTTGTCCCATGCAAATGCATCCCGGCCTCTTCTTTAATTAAAAGACTTTATTTCCAGAAGCAGAACTGTGTTTAACACAGAGTTCAAGGGATTCATCCGCCTGTCTGTAAAGCCCAAATTCCACCTTCCCAAGTCCCAGCCTCCCTAGACTCTCTCTCTTTAAGGCTCTAGAACTTTCCAGCAGAGTTTAGAAACTAAAAGGCTAGATTCACTACCCCTAATGCCCGGTTTTTAGACTCCCCTGTCTCAGATTCTGAACAACTTTCATCTAGAGCTTAGACTTGGCATCCCAACTTCTCTCCCTTCTACCCTTTTCACAAAAGCCGCATTTCCACAGGAAAGAGACCAGCCCCGTCCGCCTGGGGGAGAGATGGGGCGTTTCCATGGGAAACAGGAGAGGAGGGGACGCTGGTGGGCAGCCAAGGGGCCTTCACAGGCAGCAGAGCCGTTCCACCTCCTCCTCACAGTCATAGAATTTCTCAAAGAGCTCCGAGGAGGTGCTGTGGCACTCAAGCCATCTCCTCAATGTGCCCAGGGCGCGGAGGGCATCGGCCTTGGTGGGCAGGGGCTGGAAGCCATCTTCTTGGCGCCCCTCGGCATCCCCTGTGCTTGTCTCCTCTTTGCACACTCCAGGGCCTGGCTCCTGGCCCTCCAGGTCCACGAAGCGGGAAAACTCCTCCAGGCTCAGCCCACTGGGGACCGGCGCCACTGCAGGGGCTCTGTCTGGGGACAGCGGCGTTTTGCCCGGGGCAAGCCCTTCCTGAACGAAGCTGCTGAGAATGAGCTGAGGAGGCACCTTGGCCCAGGCCGCCGCCGCCAGGTGCAGCGCATCCAGCACTGTGATGCCCACCCCGGCCTCAGCCAGAGAGGTGCCACCCCTCTCGCTTTGAACCGCAGCCAGCTTGCCCAACAGCCGGCGTCGGTAATGGGCCTTAAAGGCCCGCACCACGGAGCTGGGCAGAGAAGGGGGGGTGCTGGTGGCGGCCAGAGGTAAGAGGCGCACATGGCAGAGCCCCGGCAAGCCTGCCCACTCCTCTACCACAGGCGCGGCTAGCAGCAGGGCTACCTGGCGGCCCTGCCGCCCCATGTCCTGGTCAAACTGCGCCAACCACTTCGTCCAGGGGATGCCCAGCTCGGGGTGGTAGGAGGCAGGCAGGGCCTCACTGCTGACCCCAAAGAAGCATCTCGGGGTGGCCTGGTGACCCCCCACCAGGATCCGACGCTTTTCCGTGCCCCTGCTGTTGGCACATAGCAGCACCCGAACTTGATCACATGCACCCACTCTGCCAGGCGCTGCCCGATAGAGCAAGGGCACCTCAGCACAGCCAAAAACGTCCTCTGGGGAGAAGTCTTTCAGGGAAAGAGGCGGCTGGGACTGGGGCGGGAGCACTGGCGGGGGCGGGTCTGGGGGAAACGGAGGCGAGAGGACGTGGCGGGCCCCGAAGCCGACATTATTTCGGCGTTTCCAGCGGACCAGCCAGCCGATGCTGGGCACGAAGTCCTGGCCCATGAGGTCAGCCAGCTCCTTGGCTTTGTGGAGCAGCATGGGCCCTGTCACGTCCCAGGCCTTGGCCCGGGCGATGTGGTACCAGCAGAGCAGGGCCTCGTCGATGCTGCTGTACTTGGACTCCCGCTTGCGCTTCCGTTCTCGGTTGGCGGTGCCGCTGCACCAGTCGGCTAGCAGCTTCTCCTTATTCTTGCAAATGCGCGAGATCTGGGGCTGGGACACCTGGAAGCGCCGGGCCACTTCCGACTGGGACAGCTTGGACTCGTCCAGGAGTTCCAGCACCTGGATCTTCTCGGCCAGGGACAGGGCGTGCAGCTTCTTCTTGCTGCTCAGCTCCATGGCTTCTCCACGGCCCCTGTGGAGAAGGAAATGATCAGAGGGGCTCAGAGGCCGAGGCCAGGAGAGGGGAGGGGGCGCAGTCAGGAGGGGTGATGAGCATGGGGGCTGGGCTGGCGGGGGTACCAGGGAAGACTGGACCGCTGCGGGTGGGAAGAGGCTCACACTGGGTAGGAGGTGAGGAAGCTGGGCCAAGTGAGGAGTGGGCTGGGCACTGACCCCAGGGGATGCCGGAGCAGAACTGGGAGGTGTCTGCTCAGAGGAGGGGGCCTGGGCTGCAGTTTGGCATAATTGGGGGAGAAGGATGAATAGGGCCAGGGGACAGCTGCAGAGACAACAAAGGAGCATGGCTGGGGGATGACCTGGGGCTGGGGCTGAGTAGGTAGGTGTAGGGTGTCATCAGGGCTGGGGGGAAGGGGCAGTGACAGCCTGAGCGGGATTTTGGGGTGAAGATGGGTATGCGTGTGTGAAGACAGTTGAGGTGACAGGTGCACAGACGACAAAAGGGTGGGGGGACGGACGGATGGGGGCTGAAGGAGTAAGTCGAATTTGGTGCTGGGTCCTGAGGGTAAGGCTGGGCGAGGGCGGGTCTGGAGTGCGAGTGGGAGCCAGGGCCAAGACGGCAGGTGCACAGGCGACAAAGGGCGAGGGGCGAGGAGGCCGCGGGCAGCAGAGGGCGGGTGTCCCCGCGCGGAGGCAAGTGGTCGCGGAGGGGTCCAGGCGCGGGACGCAGGGAGGCCGGGAGCCAGGGCGGGCATCTCCCAGCGCGGCGCCG